GTTGTCTTTGGTGCTAAAGACGGGCGCGCCAGACGAGCCGTCGGCAGTATCAAGCAAGTGACCGATCGAGCCCTTTGCCGTGTACTCGAAGTTGGGCATGCAGCTGGCCTTGTCCAAATCCGTGATACTGGGTTCGTCGCCGTTGTACGTCAACGAGAAGCGTTTTGGCCAGCTCTTGGGGTGATGCGCCGTCCAAATGTGCTCTCCGAGTGCGGGGGGCGCGTCGCGGCCTTGGAGGTAGCCGTACTGCGCGAGATCGACACTCGGATTGTCGATCTTGACGAGTGCAAAGTCGAGGAGCTCATCCCAAACAACGAGCTTGACGCTGCTGGCGACGACGGTGCCGGGGCAAGCAGACGCCACCTTGTTCTGCGGGTCCTTGCACGTGCTGCAGCGCGCGTCAAACTCAACTTGGGTGTTGGCGGCGCCCCGCTCGGAGTTGATGCAGTGGCTGTTGGTGAGCATGTGCCCTTCCGAACCAAAGAGCCAGCCCGTGCATCCCCGCCCGCCGCTAAGACGGAGGCGGGCCACGGCACGACTCAATTTATACTTGGCAGGCTCGAGCGCTTCGAGGCACGCCACCGCGCGCGACTCGTCCGAGATACTGCAGACGGTTTCCAGAGGCCCCGACGACGACGGGTCGGGCGTGCCGTGGATCACTTGGTCGACCTCCAACACCGTCGCATTTGCCACCGCATACGTTGGGGCGGTGTAGGCAATGTCCACGCTAGAACACGGGAACGACTCGGTGTAAAAGTCGTTGCGGGTGCCAATGAGCTCCATGCGCTTGGAGCCGTCGGCGCAAGCAAGCGACACCGTCGACGCCGGGGGGAGCGTCAGGACCGTAAAGTGGATGGCGAGGAAACTCGCGCCGTCGCGACGAATGGTGTAGTGGAACGGCGCAGAGCTGTTGGCGCGAAGGTGTAGCGGCACGGGATACCCGATCTCGATGGGCTGCGGACTCGCAGTGATCGCGGCAACGAGCGCACCAACGAGAGCCGCGACGAGCGAGACCATGCCGTCTTTCGTGGAAAAATCAAAAGTGAACTCGTCGGCAATGCGCAAGCAACTGGGTTCAAGGCTGGAATATACTGGGTGCTGGACCTCTTGACACTGTGGATATCTGAGTACGTCGTCAATTCGCTTGATCAGTATGTCGACGTCCGAGGCGGGCGAATACTTTGCGGACAACACCCGACGTGGCGACGTCTTAAGCGAATTATGCGACACGGTGGAATGATCTGAGAATCTGATTTCGGGTCCCTCGTTGAGAGGGGCGATGCGAAACAAGGGCAGCAACCAGTGTGCTGTAAACAGTGCGCTGCAAACGGGGCACAACGATTCGGCTCATCACGCAACTGGATAAAGTACCCAACCGCACGGGCAAATATCAGGACACTCACGTCGCTCGATGTGTGTCCTAAAGTCTAGCTTCAACCATCATTACGCTCGACCACCCCTAGCCCCACGCGCATGTTGTAAGGTAGCAGCTAGACTCAGCTAGACTAGTACGGAACTATTACATTGAAGTATAGCAAGTCTTGATTAGTGTTAGATTGCAATGCTGATATGCAAGTAGTATCCGCCAACCGAGCTGTCTTAGATTTGCGACACGAGCTCGATGCGCTGGTTGTCGTTGCCGGCAATGCACGTCCACATCTGCACGTTGTGGTGCGGGTCCGTCGGGTCCACGTCCAGACACTGCCCGGTATGCGTGGCGTGCTCGACCTTGCCGCCGACCACGCGCCACTTTTGGTTGCCATTCGACGCGTCACAAGTGTACGTGTGCACGCGGAGGCGACCGTCCTGCTTGTAGGCGTCGAGGCACTGGCCGTTGCTGACCGCCTTGATCTGCTGCGTCGACGCGTCGACCTCGAAGAGCTCGTTGACGTTGAACACTTGGCCGTTGGCGTACACGCCCGCGTTCCACTCGGAGAGGTAGAGACCCTTGGGCGTCCGGAGCTTGACGAACGACCGGACGGGGCCGTCGCATGCCGTCGAGAAGCGTTGACGG